TGATACTGTTTTCAGCTTTAAAAGTGTTTACGAACTCATTGGCATCAATGGGAGTTTGTCTCACATTGCAGATCGGCACATGGAGGGACATAACTTCAGTCATTACTGTGGAAGGGGTAACTGCTTGAATTATGTGCACAGAATTACTCTTCCTCTTCCCTTCCCCTTTTTGACTCTTCTGCTAGCAGATTTTAGCCAGCACATTTGCTGTACAGGGTCTTATAGTTGCACACTTTTGAATTAGAATTGCAGTAGAGATCTGATTTAAAACTGAATAGGAATTCAATATGTACAGTATACAAGTCTATTTAACATCCTTATGGCATTGATACATAACACATAAAAGCAGACTAGTGTTAAATATTTATTTGATTTGGCACTAAATGGGGGGGGTCCAAAAGAAGTGTATAAATTGATTTAAGTGGGGCTTCTATAATATAACTGGTCATTAAAATTCCTCCACAAAATATGTGGACTTTTCCACACTATGCTTTGCTTTGCTTTTTCATGCATAGGAATTTACCCATAACATGTTTTATTAGTTGCATTATTAATTGGCTGAGGGCCAATAGCAGACCTGTGTGGTCTTGTTCTGTTTTCATTTTTTCCATAGGTGTATATATTGTTATTTAATGGCTGAAATCCTCTTGCTTTACATAATAAGTTGTAATTAGAGTAGACCAATTGAATCAGTGGATGAATTGTCTCACCAAATCCAGCAAATTCAATAGCCCTACTCTAGTTGCAACTTACTACACTAAACAATGGTGTTTCAGCCAATATTTCTGAAGGAATTAATCTTGCCTGTGTTTCACAGAGTCCATAGTCAAATGTTACAGTACAAAACAAAATAAAAATACTAAAATTACACATATGAATCAGGTCTAAATTTTTGCCAAAATAAAACAGTTTCCAAACTATGTATTCTTGAAGGCTTTCATGGCCGGGATCCGATGGTTGTTGTAGGTTTTTCAGGTTGTTTGGCCGCATTCTGGAGGTTTTTCTCCCTAATGTTTCGCCAGTCTCTGTGGCCGGCATCTTTAGAGGACAGGATCTAGAACTCTGTGTTCTGGTGTAGTGTGTGCGATTGTTGAATATTTGTAGTTGTGGGATCGGGTTTTTGCTCTTTTCAGGAGATTGGGTGTTTCCTGTGATCAGGGTGTTTTCTGTTATGGGTGTTTTGTTGTGATGGGGGGGGAAATGATCTGTCACTGTGATTGATGGGTGTTGTTAGTTAGTCTTTTGTGTGCAGTGATCCTTGTGGCTGGGTAGAGTTCATTCACCTTTTTGCAGGCTGTATTTTTCCGTGCTGGGAGCGAGGCTTTGTTGATTTTTAGACTTTCTTATTTTTTGTTGAAGCTCTGCTGGTGTTTGTGGACTTCAGTGCCTTCCCTGTGTAGTTTAACATAATGATTGCTAATGTTGTCCAGTACTTCTGTGTTTTGAAATAGAATTTCATATCCAGCTTGTTTCAGGGCATGTTCAGCTACTGCCAATTTTTCCTGGTGTTTTAGTCTGCAGTGTCTTTCATGTTCTTTGTTTCTGGTCTGGACGCTGCATTCTGTGGTTCCAATAGATACTTGGCCACACTGCTTCTGCAGTGGTGAGGTGATCTGATCCCTTTTGTCATTTGCTGACCGTAGGGCCCAATTCAGATGGTTGAGTTTGGTGCTGAGAAATTGTGCTTCACAGTTCCAATTCACAAAGTCTACCAGTGATTTGATTATGCCTCTTTTTTTGTCGTGGGTGGTGGTTGGAGTTTTTGTGTAGGTATAGGTCTGTGTGGGTTGGTTTTCTGTAGACCTTGTGTCCCAATAGGAGGTCAGGTTTGTGTATAACCATGACATCTAAGAAAGGGAGTTGGCCGTCTATTTCTTTTCCCCTAGTGAATTGTATATTTGGGTGTATGCTACTGAGATGGTTTAGAAATTCTTCCAGTTTTCCTTCACCGTGGCTCCAAACTGCGAAGGTGTCATCCACATATCGGAACCAGACTGTGGGTACAAAGGGTGCCGAAGCCAGGGCCTGTTTTTCAAAATGTTTTTATTTTTGAAAAATACAGCCTGCAAAAAGGTGAATGAACTCTACCCAGCCACAGGGACTGCTGATCACTGCACACAAAAGACTAGCTAATGACACCCATCAATCACAGTGACAGATCATCTCCTCCCTTATCACAGCAATACACCCATAATAGAAACACCCTATTCACAAGAAACACCCAAATTCTTGAAAAGAACAAATTCTTGATCCCACAACTACAAATACTCAACAATCCCACACACTACACCAGAACACAGACAGAGTTGCCACTTGTTCCCGTCTCATTTCCATCTGTATTCTGTGAATGTATTTAATGGCAGTTTCACTCTTGACTCACAACCTCATCTAGTGACCTACCTTAAAATGTTTTTGTAAAAACAATTAATATCATGCTTACAATCTTTTGTCATGTTTATTTATTTACTCCTTTTATGTAAGCTATATCTGCGACATATACACAAAGAATACATTAGTGCCTTAATCCAGAACATTTGCTAAGGATAGCAAAACTGATATTTGTGCAAGGGTAATGAGCAATGAGGAAGGAGGTAGAATTTAGCAGTCTGGAAGAACCAATATTTTTTTAGGGAAAATCTATAGAGCAGTGGTTCCCAAACTCTCGGAAGGCTCCATCACTAACTGTGTTGGGCAGGATTTCTGGGACTTGTTTATCAAAGAACATCTGGGGACCCAAAATTGCAAACCACTGCTATATAGAGAATATACAGGGAAAATGAGGGAAGCCAAAAGCAATGAAGTAGTATGGGAGTTATGGGGGCATTAATGAATACTAAATAAGGAGGTAGGAGGGCAGGCACTAGAGCGAGAAGCCAATAACATATGGAGGAAGCCAAGTCAGTTTTGAGGAAAGGCTCCCAACCAAAAATAACAGTTCTTCCAAAACAGTATGGGTTGCATTACTGATAGAGAGAGAAGAGAGGAGACAGAATTAGAAAAAGAAATGAAGTGAAGGTTGGGGTATTATTTGTCCCACAATGAAATAGGTAGTTCTTCCTCAACAGAACTGGAACAGAGCACGTAAGATTATACAGATCTGAGAAAACTAACACTTCCATTGCAGAGGACTTGCTTACTCATTATAATCTGAGTTGGAATATAGTCCATACCTTTCTTCCTCCTTTTGAATGAATATTCTTAACATTGGAAAGTTTTCATATAGGATATATCCAGTAATGATAATTCTGTGTGTGGAGACTTAGTGGCTGAAATCCCATTGCGCTGTTATTCAAATGATGTAACTTTTAGAAGCAAATTGCTATAAGTAAAGAAATCTTTGTAGATTTTATCTGTTGTATGCTGAGTCGCCTGACTTAATATACAACAGATAATATCTACGAGGATCTCTTAACCTATGGCAATAACAAAGATATAGAACAGGAACCAAATAGAACGGGTACAATTCAAATGAAAATATCTATTTTATGAGATTACGAGAGTTATAGTGCAACTATATTGAAAGAGACATAAAGGGCATCATTGTTTTATAAAGTGCTGTTAGACTTTTTTAAAACTCAGATCTTTAAAAGGAGGATGAGATGCAGTTTCACTGGTCCATTTATTTTTGGTCAAGATACAGGATTTAACAGTGTTTTTGAAGATCCTTGTCATTTATAAATCATGGAAGGGTTATTTTCACAGGTTTAACAACCATTTAGCACATCATCAATCTCTCATCCCTTCTTCAGTCTGCAATTTCCCATACCACAAGGAATGACAAAATCTTAGACAAGAACAGATGTTTAAACCTGTAGTTTAGCATGACAGAATTTTATAATCTGTATTGATGGTCATGAATTTTTAAACAATGAAAAAGTCATTCTGAGCCCTACTGATCCTTGCCACATCAGCAGATGCTTCCTCCTCTATTTCTGGATCCGTGAATGACGACACCAGGGTTTGAACCAAAACAGAGTTTATTATAACAAGGTTGTGGTTAACAACACGACTGTCTTTGACCTGCCCTGGGCTAGTTTCCCGTGCTCTCTGGCAACTAGTTCTTAAGTCTACAAGTCCAAGTCTTCTATCCCTCCGGTTACCTTCACTGGAAGGGGTTTCAGTCTTTTATCTCTCAGGTGAATCCTCCCCACTTATACAGGTCCTGCAGCAGGGAGGGTTGGTACTGTATTCCCACACTGAGGGTAATGATGTTGGCCTCTCGCCCAAGTCTCCTCGCAGCCCACAGGCTGCTGGTTCTGACATGCCTGTTGACACTGACTCTGCCACTGCCTCAGATGAGCTGCAATATGATCTCCAGGGCTAGGTTGGCTGGCTCGGCAACTTTGTTCCCTCTGTTGTCACTCTCCCCAATATGAAGGATGGGTGGCAGCCACGGAAAAGTGTCTTTTCACCTCACCTTTGGGTACCCTGAGCTGCACCAGTACACCTGTCTAGGGGTCATCTTTCTATATATATATATATATATATATACTCTAAATCCCTGAGTGGCTCTGATTCCTTGGGCAGTTCTTCCTCAGCCTGGAAACCCTTGACTGTGTTTTCTAAGGCATCCCCCCAGGAACCCCCCTCTACCTCATCATTATCCTAGTTATGGTATGATTATAGGACCCACTATGTCACTAGCCATTCTTTTTTCTTATTCAGGATTTTCACAACCCTTCAGTGATTAGTTACCACACTGAGAATCTTGCTGAAGCACATACAGTATGTGTTTAGTAGCACACTGAAAGATCTCTGTGATATTTGATCCTGCTCTCTCATGAATTACAGACATTATCCACATTATCTATTCAAATCAGGGGCCTACCGCATTTAAACATGTGTGAGTGAGTCATGTGTTCCCTTTTCTTAGCCTTTTATTACCTCAAAAACAGAGTGAGGGAAGCTAACCCAAATTTCTTTTCAAAATATGTAGTGGTCTAGAATTTACATTATAAAAGATGTTTGTATTAAAGACTGATGTTCTCTTCCTTTTTCAGTGCAAACTAGAATATCAAGCCTGTGTCTCAGGAAAACAGATCTCAGTAAAGTGTGAAGGACGTTGCCCTTGCCCTTCAGATACATCCACAAGCACAGGGAGAAAGAGGGGTAAGTATTGAGACAGAACATTAATACTATCAGTGCTGCATTGGTCAATGAATTATACATGGGACCAGTAATCAGTTGTTATTCATGTAATGAAGGGATTCCTTTATTTCAAAGTACTGTAGTTTAGAAATGGAAGAATGACAATATGTTGTTTAATGATTTTGCATACATTTTTAAGAAAAGCTCTGTTGGGTTTGATCTAGTATTTGACACATTATAAATACTTGGATATGAACACTCCAAGGGTTTTGTGCCTGATTATCAGATTTTATATAAGAAACTGCTGGTTAGGATCTTCCATGTTCTTTTTAATTTTGCTAACTAAGCAAGTTTTGAAGATTGGCAAGGTGGTACTTTGGGAAGAGGTGTTCATCTCTCTTTTATCCTTTCTGGAAGCTGGTGTTTGCTTGGGGAGAAGAGGAGTTTAACCTGTACTGGGAATGGTGAGTGCTTAACTGCACTTTTGGGGGAGGGGCTGTTAAAATCAATTTATTGTGAGTACAAAATGTTTGTGAGAATTTGCAAGATCTGCTTGCCAAACCCTGGTGCCAGTTTCATTTGAAGCCTGTATTACATTTTTAATCACAGTCAGTGGTTGCACAGGAACTGTGGAATGTTTTGTGAGTTCACCATTTACACTGGATGTGATACAAGTCATGTCCCTCCCCTCCTTTCCTGCAAATCCTTTTATGGCAATCAGAACTAAAAGAGAGACCCTCTTCATGATCTTATTGAAATGTGTGCACTCAAACACACACAATAAAGTATTGGCTCCCCCCTCCTCCCTATCTTTCTGTCAATCTGACCTTCTGTAGAAAGTTCAGCTTCAATGCCGCTGCCGCCCCTTTCTGGGCGCTGGCAGAGAGAGATCAGTTGTGGCTTTGAAATGCACATAAATGAACAGTACAGTGGTACCTCGACTTAATCTGTATTGGAACGACATTCATAAGTCGAAATGTTCGTTAAGTCGAAGCACCATTTCCCATTGAAATGCATGAGAACGGGATTAATTCGTTCCACCATTTCAAAAAAATACCAAAAATAAAAATAAACAAAGCAAGTCTCATGCTGGGACTGCAAACACACACACACACACACACACACACACACATCCAAAAACAAGACAACACAGCACAGAAACATAACCCCCCCAGTCCAAACCCACCCTCCAAAACCCACCCAGAACATTTTTTTTATAAAAGGAAAAAGCAGCACCTCACCAGTCCGAACTCTCCTCAGCCTCCTGGGCTTCCACTGTTGCTGTGACCACTGGCAGCAGGAGGCTTGAGCCTGGCAGGGGTGCTTCGGCCACTCGCCTCCCAGCTCACCTTCCACTTGCTCTCCGCCACCCTCCATGGGCTGATGGCAGGAAATTCAAATGGCGGAGGGCAGCGAGGAGCAAGCAGGAGGGGAGCTGGGAGGCAAGCAGCTGAAGAAACCTGGCCATCTCAAGCTTCCCGGTGCTCCGCTGCCTCCGCTGTGGCCAGGGGCGAGCGGCCAAGCGCCCGGCCAGCTCAAGCCTCCCGCCACTGGGCTACCACTGCCTCTGCCACCCCGCTGCTGCCGCCAGAGCACCCAGGAGGCTCAAGCCTCCTGGCTCTGGGTCACCTCCACCCCTGCTGCCCCCACCACAGCACCCAGGAGGCTCAAGCCTCCTGGCTCTGGCCTACCCCCACCGCATCCCTTTCCCTAACTGTTGGGGTGAAAAAGCTACAAAGAAGCAGCCTCTTCACCACCAACAGTTAGTACAGTAAATTCAAATTTCCTGCACTTTCCCCCTGCCTTTTTGTGTTCGTAAGTCAAAGCTCCATTTGCAAGTCAAAGCAAAATTTTGAGAACGGAGCGGTTCTTAAGTCGAAATGTTCATAGGTAGGGATGTTCGTAAGTCGAGGTTCCGCTGTATTGGGATTCTTTCCCCGCACCTCTCACCTTGGAGCTCTTTCTCCAATGGAGGTGCCTTTTCTATGATAAAAGAAAGAAGTCCCTGAAAAACTATTTCCAGTTTAATGTTTCACATCCTTCCCTCTCCTTTCTTTTCTTCCTCCTGCCTGTCCACTCCTGTGCTTAGTAAACCCTGCTCTGTTTCCTTTTGTATGAAGTCCCTCGGACAGAAACACATGCACAGACACTATCCACTTGTAACACACACATTCACAGGCAAGCAAGGGGCCAGTCAGGTGCCTTCTCACAGCCCCTGCCTTCACAATAAAGGCAGTAGAAGCACTGAGTGCTATGGTGGCTTCTTTTCCCGTCCCCTCTTGTGCACACATAGCATTCTCCCCACCCTCTTTCATTGGCCCCCTCTCTCACATTCCCTCTCTTTTTTCCTAGTTGTCACTTATTCTTCTGCTGTTCCTTCCCATTCCACCTCTACAGACATGGCCACCCCACCTCCTACTCACAGAGAAAAAAAAGCCCTTTTGAATTCTTCCAGCAGCAAAAAAGTAATAGCCTTAAAGCAGGGCAGGAAAAAAAAAACATTTTGCAAGGGGTGGTTTTGATAGTCTTTGTGTCATGTAGGCAAGATAAATATTTCGAGTGCACCCGCTTTATATGAGAAGCAAATATCAAGGTATATGATAGTGTAGTTGGGCTCTAAGACACAGTATGTTCATCCCATTTCCAGAAGCCACTAGCTGAGTAGGCTAATGATCTTGATAGACTTAGGTACAGCCATGTGCACACACACATATATTTCAGAGCCTGGTTAGCATTAGCACTTCCTCTCTGTAACTTGCTTTCATTATGACCTAAGGGATCCTCCTGCTATGCCATATTCCTCACTGCTCTCTAACTTGATATATTTATATGTATGACTTACTGTACGTATTTCATTTTATATGGAGTTTTAAATTTTTTATTATATTAACATCCATATTTATATTATTTATACATAAATGTAAAAAAGAAGTAAAGGTAGATGAATGTGTAATAATTGCTCAAATTGTGCTGCTGGTGTGCTAGGTTTTATGATTATTTTTCTGCAACCCTGTCAATTCACCCTGACTCTCAGTTATGCATACTTGTGATGCTTGTGGCAGCTGATTATAGCAGCGAGTGGTATGTGTGTGTTTAGTAGGGAGGAAGATCAAAATGTTGGGCAAAATAGTCATGTATCTGGACAGAGGTGGTGGCTTTAGAAGAAGAATGGACATGGAACATAAAATAGAAGCCTAACGTTTTCTCCAACATTTGTGCAGGGGAGAATATGTCTTTGAGGAATGTTGTGGTCAGTGTACACATGTGGGCATAGATACATATGTTTCCGGCTTGTTCTAAAAATTATGTCAGCAGTAGTATATTTGATTAGGAGGAGGATGTTCTGAACAAGGATGCAATTTAGATTTCTGAAATATCAGAATGTCTGAATGTAAAGAACATTATAAGAAAATGTGTTCCTGAAAAACTAATATCATTTATAGCTGTTCTTAAATTGTTTTGCAAACACAGGACTTTGTAGCTGAGACCTACTACATTGAATGTATCTTGAATTCAGTGCAGTTTTCGTAAACCTGCGGAATATACTTATGGATTTCTATAGCTGTTAACATGCAAACAAGCATATTTTCAACGAAATGCTCCTTCCAAGCATTTTTCAGTAGCACCCCTACATAAACTGTATAGCAGTCATTGAGCCTGCAAACCTCTGCAAAAGAAAACCTTATGATTTCCAAGTTTCCAGAAATAAGTAGAAAGAAAACACTGTAGATGCAGGAGCCATGTAAGAATTTAAGGACAATCAGGGCTTGGGACAGTTAGTTTTTGAAGATAATAATAGTTTCCTTTCTTATTATCGTATTTGAAAGGTAGTTGTCATTAAGCATTTTAAAGTTATTGCTTTCCCACTACTCCTTTTTTTAACTAAAAAAACTCTCAGGATCTTAAGAGAATGACATAAGACTTTGAAATTTTAAAAGAAACTTCAAATTAAAGAAAAGCTTATTTTTTGCACCAGTATTGTTACTTTGTTCCCCATATTACATTACTTTTAATGTTTAACTTCATTGCTTCCTTGTTACACTCCAAAAGTAACTAGAAAGTAGTAGCAGATCATTCTGCCCGAAGGGTGCATAACATCAGTCTGCAGTTGCCAGTACTGAGGCTTACTTTAAAAAGATATTATAGCTGTAAAGATGTTACTACACTCATTTCTTCTGCTGTGAGGAAATTGCTAGTTTGCTAAGTTTGTTCGTTCTCCTTTTTTGTAATAGTTAACTTCTCCTAGACTTTTTTTCTTTTCAGAATATTTTACAGTTTAAAAACTGTGGAAGATCATATTAACTTTCTCCTTGTATTTCTGATTATTGTTTAGCTTTGTTCAATAAACGTGATGGCTTTAATTATGGTAGAATTACTTCTAAAAATGTGTCCAACCTACTCCATGGCCTTATGCTACATTAACCTTTGCAATTAACTACTGTCTGCTTGTCATTTTTATAAGAAATGGTTACATGTGAATAGCTGATAATTAGCTGAACAGAAAGGGGGGGAAGCTTAACATGAAGTGAGCTCTTTTTGCCCCATTTATTTTTCTAACAAATAAACAGCAATTGTGGGCAGATGCATCCTTACATGGAATTAAACATAATCCAATATTGGCTATTAGAAATGTATTTTTAGTTTCAGTCCTCCTGTTTTTAAGCAATTAAAATGTTTTTGGAAATGGAAAATTTCGAAGACCATGTTCATATAACATTTGTTTCTCAAATGTGGCAGAGTGGCTTCCCATATCAGATGTTCGAACCACTTGCTACCTAACTGTAAAATATTCAGAGAGCAAAAAATATTTTTAAGAGCACACTACATACTATGTTTTGGATGGCATGCAGTATGCATTTATTCATACTGAAATATGTGTACTGTCTCAAGGTGGGCAATAAGATGGCTTATTGCAAAACCGGTCTAAAATGTATAGGAATAATCTAAGATAAACTGTGAGATCAATTATTTAAAATGCTCAAAAGCTTGGCAGAAAGTATATTTTAATTTTTTGAAAAAAC